CCACGTTCACAGGGAAAAAGCAATCCATTCGCTTCCATGTTGGTATGATTTTTTGGTCCTAATGAAATTCCAGCATATCAGGTAGTTACGAATCATGAATTTTTACGCGTTTTTAAAGTTTTCAAATTTCCAACCGTTACCTTTTGGGTTGCTAACTGTTTGGAATCCTGTCCGAATACCCCTAAATTTCGGCTGAAAAATGCGCAATTCTGACTGACGACGGTAACGAATATATAACGCTGAAATTTCTAGCCTCAGGTCTAGAACGGGCTAGACAGCAATTTCCTTAAAAGCGCAGACGGACTTGGCCTCAAAAATAGCTTCCAAGGTGGAACCAGAAGTTTTTCCAAGTCCGTGTTCGGCAGGTCGGGAGAGTTCTATCCCTAGGACCGGGGTTTTTCCTCAGTTTTCGCTGAAACGAGCGCGGTGGTTTCTTTTTTCATCCTATGGATGCTCGTTGGGTCTCTGCAGGTTCTGTTTTATTGTACGCGGTTATTGCCGTATGCACCTTTGTAGTTTCAGTATTAGCCTGACTCAATAAACATGCGGCCGCGAGTTAGCACACGATAGCCAATAGTATGTCACGCGTTCTTTTGTGGTTTCGCCGGCACGGGTTCGGTGATTTTAGGGGATTAAGACTTTTTATTTCTTATACTATGTACAAAAACTAAGAAGAACCAAACAGTTCAATTTCCAGTGTTGCGATAGAAATGATCCAAACAAGAAATATCTCGACGTCCTAAACAAATGAAGGTGCCGTATGACACTATGACGTAAGATGGTGAGCACAATGAAAGTTCCAGCGCATGGTAATAACATTCTCCTTGTAAGCTTCCATGCTTTTCTTAGAGAAATTGGGACATTTTGATAACAGATTGTTAAGGCGACATGGTTGTTTGAGAGCTGAGCTAATACTTAAAATGATGTTTGCAGTCAGTAACAATAATAAGCGTTAAACATTTCCAGACTAGGATCTAAGAGTTGAAGAACGTTTATGTAAAGACAACACTTTTTTTCGTTGCTCAATGACCACGCATACAAGCAACCAGCAAAGAAATGACAGTTTATAGTCTATCGACTGACTGCCGTAAAAACCGCCGTAGGTGTCATCTACAGGCACCTCACAAAAAGCTTTTCTGGTCCATCTTTCCCACTTCGTGTGATTAGCGCCGTCAACTTCTCCAACAGTTCATTTGTAGCGACGATGACATCGCCACAGCAGACTAACGTGACGAGAAAGCCACACAAGTTACTTTCTCCGCTTGGTTGGTCTTTGGAACGTTTGCTTACTGCCACCGGCACGGACGGTATGGAATTTCATGGCTAGCGTGTTATCCATCGTCCAGGGCGAATCCATCTGTATCGAAGAAGGGGTTAAATGTAAGTAGTGCCTAAATGCAGACCGTCAAGGACAAAATGGAAAATAGCCCATTTGTACACTAACGCAGCGAAAGGGAAGGGAAACAACAAAAGTAGATAATATTAGCGTCCTACTGTTTGCACATCTTCTGAACAAAGCCTTTGTTACAGCAGACTGCACAATTTCAAATCCAGCGAGTGGACAACCACCTACCCTGTAATCTGAGTAGTATGGAAGGGACTGGTTAATCCTGGTAAATCCTGTTTCTTTTTTTTACTTTTTTCCACCACTCCCACACAAAAATCATTAAATCCACAAGAAACAAGATTAACCGGTGCCTACCATACATCTGATATAATATAATTATATTAACCATTATATTTTAATTAGAGTAACTAGATTGTTACAAGTAGTACAAACATACTTTAACCTTTTACATGACATACCTGTGTTGTATCTTGATCAACCAAATGAGTGTATTTCGTTCTACCTGATCGACCAAAGTTCTTGACCTGCAAAAGAAATTTAATCTGTCTGCATACCTGTATCTCCACATATTAATACACTGGGACGTATTTAAACTTCTTAGCGATGAAAAAAAAAAAGAAATACCGCCCATCTGAAAATTCCTTTCAACAAAACGAATGACTCTGCAGTGAAATATGGTACAACTTGAACAAAAAACAATCATATCTTTTATAAAATAGATCGACAAAGTTACACTAAACAGAAGTTCCAGGATGTGTCCAAGTTACTTACATGTAGAACACTCGTTCAAAAGTGAGGAGCGTTTATGTTTTATCTTACCTGCATTACTTTAGGAATAATCGTTTTATCAAAGTGATCCTCCAGAGTGGGTTTAGCAAAGTCCCGTGTGTACACACCATCCTCTTTATCCTTTGAAAGAAGAAAAATCAATAAAGTGGGGTGAGTTCCAATATAACGATCGCAATTCACCAGGATGTAGAAAATATAGCATAGCCAGGAAAGCTAGGAGATTGGCAAATAAGTTATATCGTGGCCCTTTTTAATAAACAAACAACTTGTAAATAAACAGAAACTTGTTAGGAAATCACAGCTAGTAGTCTGAGGCAGACCATTCACAAGACATGGAAGAGTTGAATTCAGGACCACACAACACAATTCTATCCAGTGGTTTGGACAAACATTTGAACCCGATCCAGCGCCCTAACCACTAGGCCACACTGCCACCTCAGAGCAAAGATATCAGTGACGTCACCTATTGTTGTTAATATGCCAACCAGAGAACTATTGGCTAGTGAAACAAAGAGTTCTTCTGTTTAACGTTTTGAACATTTAAATAACAAAAACAGTGTTTGTCAACAAATATCTTCGCTATAAAGGAAGAGCATTAAGCGTCTCGCTACCAGCCCAGTCATGGCAAAAAGTGAAGCCATAAATTGGCAGGGCTGTCGTTAAGTTTTGATTCACCTGCAGCCTTTATCTTCACCCCGGTAAAAAATTTGTTACTTTATGGGTGAATTGTATCAACTACAGCCAAGTTGACAAGTAACAACAAGGGCCCCTCAAACATTGCTCAGCTGTAAAAGGCGCAACAGGTTACGGCCCTTCTTGGCAGCCCTGAATTGCCATGGTGAAAGCATATACACTCACCAGGAAGAAAGCACCACGGTGATAGTATTTTTGTAAGAATCTGTATTTTCCCTTGGCTGCCTTGTTGGTGATCTGTTTTGGGTTGCTTTTCACTTCCATTCTACATTCCTCCTCGGTCAGGTTGCGAAGACGTTCCACATCTTGGCGTTCTCTCTCCAATCTAAATAACATTGAAATAAAACAAACACTTGTCAATTTTATGATCAACATCCAGTAGTAACAATCAAAAACCCACTCTGAGGAGAAGAAGTTCCTACAGTGCAGGGTACCGGAGATTCCGTAGGACAAAGAAATAAGAGCAGCACAATAGCAGCTGTCACAAACGACAAACAGACCGACTTAATTTAAACAACAATAGACGGATCAAAACTTACAGGAACCAACCAATGATTAGTGATAAGTTAATAAAGATGGTGAATTTTATGTTGATTAATTCACCTTCACAACCAATGATTGTTGACAAACTTTACATGAGTCTTACAGCCAATACCATCATGGCTAAACTGACCAATCACTTTCAACGGACCAGACTTATAACATCATCGACTGACAAATATAATTCACTTGACTCTGAAGATGACTTCCGCTCAGGTTGTTGAAACGTCAGTCGCGAACAACAGTTCTTTTAAGAACTACCCTAACCCGGACGATCACACTATACAAACTAGTAGCTGTCACATTTAGCCTAAGAGGTTTCTCATAACCACTACGTGAGTAGAAAATGAACTTCAATGCAAACAAAATTAACGAATTAACTACTTACTGCTCTCTTTCCTCTCTGTCTCTCTTGATACGTTTTAGTTCACGAACTTTCCAAGCTTCATACTAAAAAGAAAAAAAAAAACGTCCGTAAAAACTTTTATAACAACACAAGAAACGGGTTTTGCCTGGAGCAAAATGGATATGTGTGCATGCAAACCATTCACACTGCAACTGACATTGCCCTCATGTACACTGTACGCTGTGTATTGAAGTATGTACATTGTATTTAGCAAAGTTATGTAAGGTGCACAAATGTATAGGGTTAACAGTTACAGAAGATGTACGAAGACAGTAAATCTGGAAACTAGCCCTTAAGAGAAATGTGACATCTTTTGGTTCCAGTCCCAAAAAAAATCAATTATCAGTTTCTCCTTACTCATTATCATTCATTTCAGCTAATTATCATACATTAGAGCCAATTACCATACATTACAGCTGATGTCAGTTCTGTGAATATGACGGTTCGTCNGCCCGTGGGCATTACGGCTGCATAATGACCACCCAGATCTCACTCTTAGCCAATCAGAGTGCGCGTTATATCGGCCACAAGCCAAAGCCATATAATAATAATATTTAATATTTTTAAAGTGCAAATTAACATATATGCATGATCAAATACGCTCTACAACATATACAATCATAAAAAATAAAACTAAAATCCACTTAGTAAAAATCGAAAGGTTCGATTAAAAAATGTTAAAAATTACATCTGCTACTTATTTTAGTACAAACCTCTTCATCTAAATCTTCTTCATCGCTACAAAAAATAAAAAAAGGTTTCAACAAGTTGCAACAAAATGCTAAAGACTAGCATTATTTCCTTTGATTGTAATCACAATAAAATACTAGACAAGAGTGTGACTGAGCGATTTATCTAAAAGCCCTCATGTGCATTCTACAGTATGTCAAAGAAAGCCAAGAATTAATGATGCAAATAAGTGAAAGTTGTTGTAACCTTCTCTCAACTCTTATCACACAACAGTATTATAAAATAACTAAATCCTCAGATCCTACAGTAGATGTGTATGACATACTGTAGACATGTAGGTACTTTGATAAAGGTCATAGCACTCTATAAAAATCATTAATGTATGAAGCTTGTTTTCTCTGTGCCATCTCAAAAGTAAATATATATCTGAGCTGCACTGTAACAGCAATGATTATCTACACCAATATACATGTACATGTATACCTGTACATATGGACATAAAAACTGAGAATTATTCATATATTAACAAAGATCTAGCAGAAACTGTAAGTGCAACATTACCAACCTGCTTTCTTCCATTCTTGGTAATCTCCGGAGGTCTCTGTCATCCTGCATACAAAAAATAACATAAGGCAGAAATGTAAACAAAAGTCTTGTTTTTGGTGGTATGAAATTAACCGTTTTACAATGAGAATGACCAACCTACATGTACTATTCCTTCTAAAGAAGTCAGAAAACAACAAAAACTTCTCAAAATCATACATTCTTATCTCAGTAGTTCCACACATTCCTCTGTACACTGTGCATGTACTTTTAATAATAACAGTAGTACACAAGAAGAGAAACTTTTAGAGACACGTCTGAGATTGACACCATTTTGAGGAAACTAAAATCGTTCAATGCCAGTCAGTTAAATATTTTGCTGGGTACACGTACTCATTTTCCAAGATGTGCATTTCAGTTACCTGGAGCCCACCGGCCACTCTAGCAGGCACGTGCACAAATTCTTGTATAAAGTGTCCCAGCTTCTGAAGCAAATTATCACTTGCTCTCATTTTTCCCACATACAATCAGGGACTGAAATACATGTACCCTACCTCTGAATGCTGTTGAGCGACAATCTTATTTCCCTCTGAGCCAAGCTAGACATGTCTTGATTATTGGTATTTTACTGATATTACACATGTACATGTATTATTTATGTTTAAAAAAGGACGAGTAACCAGGAGTAACCTTTTTAAAATTTTTAATTATCACTATTCCCAAATCAAAGTTCTTTCAACAGTTTTTACCAAAACCATGACAAAGTCTATCATCAAGGTTCAATATTTCAAAACAAAAAAACCTTGGCAATTCATACCTCTTCTCCTGATGCTTCCTCGTCCCCCATAGCAACCACTTCTGGTTCATGTGGGCGACGTCTATGACCTTCCTCCCTGATATGTCAGAGAGAACAAGATTTCAATTCATTACTTAAACAGCACAAAAAGCAGTTTTATGGTTATTATGAATTGTGCACAAGTTCAAAATTAAAATGAATATATTATAGTGTGTATGGGTACGCTATTCACAACTTTATTCTCACTCATTTTAATTCTACTGTGTTCTGTATTACACGTGGCTGATGTAAATGAAAATCAGAGCTTAAAGATGGTTGGGAAACTCTACCATGGCCTTGTTCATGTGTATGTTGTCTGAAAACTGGCAATATTAATTTAACTTGCATTAACTTACACTTCATTATCTTCATCTTTTACTCTTTCTTGAAGTCGCCTCAGTCTCCTGTCTGTCTTTTCAGCTTTCTGAAATACCTATTAACAAACAAAATGTAAATTATAGATCACATATAAAATATTTCTAGCACTGGCCGAATATACATGCTTTACTTCCAATCCAGCTTTAAATACATGTGTGGTGCAAAATTATACAGGAAAGCATCTTGTTATAAATTGACATCATGCTCTTCGATCAGTTAAAAGCAACGATTTACCTTGTCTATTTCTTGTTCATCAATCTCTCGTTCTTTGACGAAAGGTTCTCCTAATACTGCGTCGTCTTCATCCTCTTCATCGCTAGAATACTTAGCGTATTCGGGACTGAAAGGTAGCGTCATAAAAACAATAAGAAAACACGTCCGTAACGTCAACTATAATTAGCTCAACTGAACCCTGTTGAAATACATGTACGTGAAAAAGCAAAACCTTACCGTTTTCCAGCGACATATCTGCTAACTTTCACTTTCTTCATGGTAAATTCTCCTGTTCAGAGTAAATAACCGACATAGTTACAACGAACAATTCGCTGTACTTCTGAGCTAAGCTTTAGATGTATCCTTGCAACACGATTCTTCAAGATCAGCACTACACAAACACCGCCATTCTACAAACCTTTTTCATTTTTCACAGGAACAGCTCCTGCTGTACAGTTGATAGGGACTCCTCTCGCCAAAGGATCCATTTTAGAGCCCTAAATTCTGTAAACTTCAGACAAAATTGAGCTCTTTTCCTGATATATAAAGACGTGATACAACTTCTCAATCCAACATGGCGGATAATTACGCATATGCACTTTTCTGTAATACCGCTGACACGCTCCATTCCTAAAAGGACGAGAGAAGACTGGGAATGAGTTGTTGGATAGGCGGTCGGTTCGGTCGGAAGAGGAAGGAGTGGTTTACAGGGTAACAAGAGAAGATCAAGTGGATCCCCTATGTAAGCTTATATAGCCCTTATACCCAGGGTAATCCCGCTTAGATTATTTTTAGACATGGAACCCAGTTCTTTCGGGAATGTACTCGCGCGATGAGTGGACCTCCGTTCCGCCACGTACAGGGGCCCGTTTCTCCATCTGGCCCAAAAAGCCATTTTTAGTTAATCTGTATCTAAAAAGGTGTATATGCCTGAAACTTATTGAATGAATTGAACCTCTAATCAATTTAAGAATATGTGAATAAAACAGCTCTGCAGTCATACCGCTTAAGATTTTGTAATGGCTTTCCGGATGCGAAAACTTTTCGGGACCCTCGAGAAATGGGCACCAGGTCCGTTTCCCCCTAACTCAAAGTCGTTTTTAGTTTTTCATACGATTTAGAAATTAATAAATGGTTAACTTGAACAAAACTAGCCTGCAGAACAGGCGGGTTGGCGGGGCAGAGAGCGAAATGCGATACACGAGCGCGAAGCGCGAGACGAAAAAAATCCCGCTTCAGCCTTGTGATCACGCTCCGAGCTCGTGTATTGCGTTTCCCCCTCTGCCCCGCTAATCCTCCTGTTCTGCAGGCTAGAACAAAACAAGCACTGTTGAGACTCTTTCTCGTCTAACCAGCAAGATGATCATTGAATACAGTAAAAGCCCGCGTATAAGAACCTAGGTACATGTATTTTTAAGTTAACCTCCTAGGTTCTTATATAGATGGTGTTTACTGTGAAATTAGGCTACCTAGGTTCTTAGTCAGGTTCTTAATTTTTGCTAAAGAAAAAACAACTTGTAGTCATGGGTGTGGCCTTATTGAATCATTCGCAGTACATTATTGTGGTCTTATAACACTGCCAGTGCTCTGGCTAGTTTTTGTTATCTTTTTATCGCGTGTGATGGGTTGTATTATATTTGAAAAAACTCTATATTTTGAAAATAAGAACCTGTATTGAGATTTTAGCCTAGAATGGTTACGTGAGGGGTGCTTAACAGGGGACTTTTTAGCCTAACAGGTTATTAAATTTTAGGTTCTTATACGCGGGTTTTACTGTGCTATGCACGTTACGCGTAAACATCTACCGCCGCCTATAGAACAAGTCTTGCTACTTTCACCCTTTAGCTTAAAGGAAGTATTCTATGGAGTAGGGANTTGAACCCGATCCAGCGCCCTAACCACTAGGCCACACTGCCACCTCAGAGCAAAGATATCAGTGACGTCACCTATTGTTGTTAATATGCCAACCAGAGAACTATTGGCTAGTGAAACAAAGAGTTCTTCTGTTTAACGTTTTGAACATTTAAATAACAAAAACAGTGTTTGTCAACAAATATCTTCGCTATAAAGGAAGAGCATTAAGCGTCTCGCTACCAGCCCAGTCATGGCAAAAAGTGAAGCCATAAATTGGCAGGGCTGTCGTTAAGTTTTGATTCACCTGCAGCCTTTATCTTCACCCCGGTAAAAAATTTGTTACTTTATGGGTGAATTGTATCAACTACAGCCAAGTTGACAAGTAACAACAAGGGCCCCTCAAACATTGCTCAGCTGTAAAAGGCGCAACAGGTTACGGCCCTTCTTGGCAGCCCTGAATTGCCATGGTGAAAGCATATACACTCACCAGGAAGAAAGCACCACGGTGATAGTATTTTTGTAAGAATCTGTATTTTCCCTTGGCTGCCTTGTTGGTGATCTGTTTTGGGTTGCTTTTCACTTCCATTCTACATTCCTCCTCGGTCAGGTTGCGAAGACGTTCCACATCTTGGCGTTCTCTCTCCAATCTAAATAACATTGAAATAAAACAAACACTTGTCAATTTTATGATCAACATCCAGTAGTAACAATCAAAAACCCACTCTGAGGAGAAGAAGTTCCTACAGTGCAGGGTACCGGAGATTCCGTAGGACAAAGAAATAAGAGCAGCACAATAGCAGCTGTCACAAACGACAAACAGACCGACTTAATTTAAACAACAATAGACGGATCAAAACTTACAGGAACCAACCAATGATTAGTGATAAGTTAATAAAGATGGTGAATTTTATGTTGATTAATTCACCTTCACAACCAATGATTGTTGACAAACTTTACATGAGTCTTACAGCCAATACCATCATGGCTAAACTGACCAATCACTTTCAACGGACCAGACTTATAACATCATCGACTGACAAATATAATTCACTTGACTCTGAAGATGACTTCCGCTCAGGTTGTTGAAACGTCAGTCGCGAACAACAGTTCTTTTAAGAACTACCCTAACCCGGACGATCACACTATACAAACTAGTAGCTGTCACATTTAGCCTAAGAGGTTTCTCATAACCACTACGTGAGTAGAAAATGAACTTCAATGCAAACAAAATTAACGAATTAACTACTTACTGCTCTCTTTCCTCTCTGTCTCTCTTGATACGTTTTAGTTCACGAACTTTCCAAGCTTCATACTAAAAAGAAAAAAAAAAACGTCCGTAAAAACTTTTATAACAACACAAGAAACGGGTTTTGCCTGGAGCAAAATGGATATGTGTGCATGCAAACCATTCACACTGCAACTGACATTGCCCTCATGTACACTGTACGCTGTGTATTGAAGTATGTACATTGTATTTAGCAAAGTTATGTAAGGTGCACAAATGTATAGGGTTAACAGTTACAGAAGATGTACGAAGACAGTAAATCTGGAAACTAGCCCTTAAGAGAAATGTGACATCTTTTGGTTCCAGTCCCAAAAAAAATCAATTATCAGTTTCTCCTTACTCATTATCATTCATTTCAGCTAATTATCATACATTAGAGCCAATTACCATACATTACAGCTGATGTCAGTTCTGTGAATATGACGGTTCGTCAAGACACATTTCTTCGTTCTAGTCACCTGCCTTGCGTGACAGTGTATTGAGATGCACGCAAAAAAAAAAAGCTCTTTACCTCTTCCTCGTCATCTTCATCATCTGTTATGATGACATCTTCCTCATTGTCCACTGAAACAAAATAGGAGGCATTTAAAACATAAAAAGTCTTAGCATGCCACACTTTTGCATTCCAGATCTACATGTAATGCTCCAAGACTTCCTAGCATTGTTTTGTTTAAATGCTTTTCTACCTGTACAGTACATTCTTAAAGCAGTTATTAAGTGCCACAATGCATCAAAAGGAATTTAGACTAAGGACTGACTCAGGAATAGCCTCCTGCGGAAAACCCAAGTTTCTTGTTTATGAAGAAACTACAGTGTAGGATCAAAGAGGAGGCTAATGTGTCAATGTTATGCACAAGTGGGAGAGTCCTTCAGGAATGTGAGAAGATGAAACCTGACCTTGGATGCAAGGGAAAGGAAGATCTACAATGTACAAGAAAAAGGACAAAAACCTAAGACTACTTTACATCTGAACTTTATCAAGACCCTAAATTAATTTAACAAACACAATCTGTAGAACCAGATAGTAAATAAAACATGTTTATAACATGAATCTTAGATTAACTGTATGTTCAAAACTGGAGTCGTAACTCATTTATGAGACATGTTTTACCATAGCCATTTACCTTCTTGTTCCTCCTGTAATTCTTTTCTTAGAAGATCTTCAACAAGCTGTGAAACAGAAAGGATGAATAAAATAAATAAATAAATAAATAAGTAAATAAATAAATAAATAAATAAATAGACCCAATCGCTATCACTGTTAAGTGATTTAGCACAAGTACTAATGAGGCTAAGCATTTAAACACCGGAAATAAATATTTCAAATTATTTAAATATAACAAGGTTTATCAACTCCCAACTGACAGGGGCAGATCAAAAGGTTATTTACAGACATTTTTGCTTTCTTGCATTCTATACATTTACAATGGACAATGTTACACACATCCAAGTTCTTATCTACAACTGCAGGAAGTTATTTCTGTTTTCACTTCATTTTGTTACCTTGCGTGATGTTTTTGTCCTTTCCTCATGGATCTTCTTTTTCTCTTCTTCTTTACGTTCAAGATCAAGTTCCATCTTCTCACGTTCCTGAACAGTGACTCGATCACTCCTGTAAAACAAAGACACATTAGCCTTTTGTTTGATCCTACAGTGTAGTTTCCTCAAAAAAGGAAACAAATGAATGAATGAAAATATAAAAGATCTTCAAATATAAAAATCAGTTCAGGATTCTTTCTTATACTCATTAGTTACACAGTTTTTCTCACTAAGGAGCCAAGACAGTTACAAGTTCCTTCATTTTATCTTCTTCAAGGCTCACACTAGTATGTTACTATCCATGCCACCAAGCAAACAGACCAAACTGTAATCTGCCCAGTTCTAAAATAACTACATCGTAGCTGACTTTGTTATATATCAGCTTCCTACTGGCTGTTTGCTGTTGAAAACTATAAACATGTACAAACCCATAGTCACCCCAATAACACAGCATGAGGTACACAGAAAAATCTATTGCCTGTGTAACATTCAAACAGAAACAAGCATGGAATAGAGTGGCTGTATCATGCATAGACTACGAGTAGTCCCTCTTTGGCTTTGTCTGTTGTGCGTGACACAAGAGAAAGCCGTGAGAAAAACTGAAATGGCTGTGCAAACCCCTGGGGGCATCTCACCCCCAGGATTTCAAGCAACAATTTCAATTTTCCTTGTGGTTTATTTACGGTCCTCTAGCTTGACGGACTAAGCAAAAGAGGGACTTCTCATAGTCTATATCATGCACCATGGTTTTGTTTTGTTTGTTTGCATTTTATTCAGGGCTTGACACCTGGCAATTGTAGCACAGACTTGGAAGAGAAACATGGTTGCAGAATCTCTGTGAGCCTGACTGTTCAGCAATTCCAAGAGATTCAAATCCAAGATTTACTGACAGATGACACTGAATTATTTATTTACTGAATGGTTGCAGGAAAAGCGGCTAACAAATATTTCTTTCTCTGTATTTAACACAGCGTGCCTTATATTGGGGCAATATAAGGCACAACATTTTGAAAAGTGCACTATTTTATCAGAGAGCACAACAAGCAATAGGTATACAAATGTTGCTCGTTTCGACTCTTTAATAAAGCGTCTACTGTATTAACCCAAGGTGAGCAGTCTTACATGTAAACTGGACCTCTTTCTTAATAGTGTCCAATGTCTCCCAGTTGGCCAGTATATTGTACCTCTCAGCTCAAATTATAGTAAGTTCACTGAGGGAAATTTTTTTCAACTTCTCTGAAGCAATCTACCAAGTGTATAAAACTTACTTTCGTACAAACACTGGTTTCAATCTTGGATTGGCTTCTTCTTCAGAATCAGTGTACTCTTCATACTCAGATGACTATGAAAAATAACAACATTTAAGTAATAATATGTACATACATTGTATTATGGCCATTTATGGGGCAAAGTACTGTGTTCATTGTAATTATACATGTATAGTCATTTTAAGTTTTATATTCTACTGCAGGTAAGAACAAGAAGGAGAGTTTGTGTATTAATCAGACATGTATACAGTTGTATGTACCTCCTCTTCCTCTTCTTCCTCGTCTGACTTGGCTTCTTCCTCCAGATCCAGTAAGTCCTGCAATAACAAGAGAGTTCAGGCTGTGGCTATATGTATTTGAAAAATCAAGGGAAAACTACAGAGTACTGTAGCTGATAGGCTGCAGTGCTGTTGCAACTTGTTACAGTGTATGTTACAACGAACATAATTTTTATGCCTTGGCCCAGTTTACTGCTGTCAACACATAGCTTTTTTTCTGGATTTAAACTAAAAAATGCACTACATATGGACAATGTAGCACTTGCTTTAAAAAGAAAACCCCGGTAAGTAAAGAGTACACCTTTATTGACTTATTAATTGAAGTCAGAGATACCACTGTTCAATTCAACCTTAAAATTGATTGCCAAATAATAAGAAAATTTAATCTGGATTTACTGTGTGAAGAAAGTCCTCTCCAAGAGCCTAGGGCAAGCAGATTTTCTAGACGGATTAGTGAATTCTGTCACTTGCCTGATGGGCAAATGAAATTTCTTGGAAAACTTTCTAGGGAAATTCAAATACAGAAGTACATGTACTGTAAGAGACAAACTTTTTTGGTTAGTGAGAATGATTTTTTGGGGTGGTACATCACAGTTAGAGCTTGGCAGAAAATTTGTTTTCTTTGCACCCTGTGGATTGCTACACACTAGCATGGATTGAGTCCTTATCTATAGTTTACTGGACTCCAGTGTGTCACCAAAATGGAAAAAAATTAATTAATGGGGTAGTACCTTTTCTGCTTCCTTTTGTCTTGCTCTTTCTCTGAGCATTGTTCTTCTTCTTTCTATTGCCTGAATAGGAAAGAAAAGAATACCGTATATTATGTTTAGGTAATAAATGTACAAAGTGTAATCTGTTACATAACCAGTAAGTAAATGTGCGGCAATAATGTCAGCCATTTGTTTAGTTAGGGAGAAATGCTTAGGCACAAGGGGCATTAAATTTTAACATTTTAACAATAATAATAATAACAATAATAATAATAATAATAATAACTACTTAATAACCGAGAGTGAGGTCATTACGGGAAAATGTCAAACTGAGGCCTTGCCGTATTGACCTCGCTATCGCTCGGTCAATACGGTAGGCCGAGGTTTGAGATTTTCCCGTAACAACCGAANGGGGATTAAGACTTTTTATTTCTTATACTATGTACAAAAACTAAGAAGAACCAAACAGTTCAATTTCCAGTGTTGCGATAGAAATGATCCAAACAAGAAATATTTCGACGTCCTAAAAAAAATGAAGGCGACTTATGACACTATGACGTATGATGGTGGGCACAATGAAAGTTCCAGCACATGGTAATGACATTCTCCTTGTAAGCTTCCATGCTTTTCTTAGAGAAATTGGGACATTTTGATAACAGATTGTTAAGGCGCCATGGTTGTTTGAGAGCTGAGCTAATACTTAAAATGATGTTTGCAGTCAGTAACAATAATAACCGTTAAACATTTCCAGACTAGGATCTAAGAGTTGAAGAACGTTTATGTAAAGACAACACTTTTTTTCGTTGCTCAATGACCACGCATACAAGCAACCAGCAAAGAAATGACAGTTTATAGTCTATCGACTGACTGCCGTAAAAACCGCCGTAGGTGTCATCTACAGGCACCTCACAAAAAGCTTTTCTGGTCCATCTTTCCCACTTCGTGTGATTAGCGCCGTCAACTTCTCCAACAGTTCATTTGTAGCGACGATGACATCGCCACAGCAGACTAACGTGACGAGAAAGCCACACAAGTTACTTTCTCCGCTTGGTTGGTCTTTGGAACGTTTGCTTACTGCCACCGGCACGGACGGTATGGAATTTCATGGCTAGCGTGTTATCCATCGTCCAGGGCGAATCCATCTGTATCGAAGAAGGGGTTAAATGTAAGTAGTGCCTAAATGCAGACCGTCAAGGACAAAATGGAAAATAGCCCATTTGTACACTAACGCAGCGAAAGGGAAGGGAAACAACAAAAGTAGATAATATTAGCGTCCTACTGTTTGCACATCTTCTGAACAAAGCCTTTGTTACAGCAGACTGCACAATTTCAAATCCAGCGAGTGGACAACCACCTACCCTGTAATCTGAGTAGTATGGAAGGGACTGGTTAATCCTGGTAAATCCTGTTTTTTTTTTTTACTTTTTTCCACCACTCCCACACAAAAATCATTAAATCCACAAGAAACAAGATTAACCGGTGCCTACCATACATCTGATATAATATAATTATATTAACCATTATATTTTAATTAGAGTAACTAGATTGTTACAAGTAGTACAAACATACTTTAACCTTTTACATGACATACCTGTGTTGTATCTTGATCAACCAAATGAGTGTATTTCGTTCTACCTGATCGACCAAAGTTCTTGACCTGCAAAAGAAATTTAATCTGTCTGCATACCTGTATCTCCACATATTAATACACTGGGACGTATTTAAACTTCTTAGAAATACCGCCCATCTGAAAATTCCTTTCAACAAAACGAATGACTCTGCAGTGAAATATGGTACAACTTGAACAAAAAACAATCATATCTTTTATAAAATAGATCGACAAAGTTACACTAAACAGAAGTTCCAGGATGTGTCCAAGTTACTTACATGTAGAACACTCGTTCAAAAGTGAGGAGCGTTTATGTTTTATCTTACCTGCATTACTTTAGGAATAATCGTTTTATCAAAGTGATCCTCCAGAGTGGGTTTAGCAAAGTCCCGTGTGTACACACCATCCTCTTTATCCTTTGAAAGAAGAAAAATCAATAAAGTGGGGTGAGTTCCAATATAACGATCGCAATTCACCAGGATGTAGAAAATATAGCATAGCCAGGAAAGCTAGGAGATTGGCAAATAAGTTATATCGTGGCCCTTTTTAATAAACAAACAACTTGTAAATAAACAGAAACTTGTTAGGAAATCACAGCTAGTAGTCTGAGGCAGACCATTCACAAGACATGGAAGAGTTGAATTCAGGACCACACAACACAATTCTATCCAGTGGTTTGGACAAACATTTGAACCCGATCCAGCGCCCTAACCACTAGGCCACACTGCCACCTCAGAGCAAAGATATCAGTGACGTCACCTATTGTTGTTAATATGCCAACCAGAGAACTATTGGCTAGTGAAACAAAGAGTTCTTCTGTTTAACGTTTTGAACATTTAAATAACAAAAACAGTGTTTGTCAACAAATATCTTCGCTATAAAGGAAGAGCATTAAGCGTCTCGCTACCAGCCCAGTCATGGCAAAAAGTGAAGCCATAAATTGGCAGGGCTGTCGTTAAGTTTTGATTCACCTGCAGCCTTTATCTTCACCCCGGTAAAAAATTTGTTACTTTATGGGTGAATTGTATCAACTACAGCCAAGTTGACAAGTAACAACAAGGGCCCCTCAAACATTGCTCAGCTGTAAAAGGCGCAACAGGTTACGGCCCTTCTTGGCAGCCCTGAATTGCCATGGTGAAAGCATATACACTCACCAGGAAGAAAGCACCACGGTGATAGTATTTTTGTAAGAATCTGTATTTTCCCTTGGCTGCCTTGTTGGTGATCTGTTTTGGGTTGCTTTTCACTTCCATTCTACATTCCTCCTCGGTCAGGTTGCGAAGACGTTCCACATCTTGGCGTTCTCTCTCCAATCTAAATAACATTGAAATAAAACAAACACTTGTCAATTTTATGATCAACATCCAGTAGTAACAATCAAAAACCCACTCTGAGGAGAAGAAGTTCCTACAGTGCAGGGTACCGGAGATTCCGTAGGACAAAGAAATAAGAGCAGCACAATAGCAGCTGTCACAAACGACAAACAGACCGACTTAATTTAAACAACAATAGACGGATCAAAACTTACAGGAACCAACCAATGATTAGTGATAAGTTAATAAAGATGGTGAATTTTATGTTGATTAATTCACCTTCACAACCAATGATTGTTGACAAACTTTACATGAGTCTTACAGCCAATACCATCATGGCTAAACTGACCAATCACTTTCAACGGACCAGACTTATAACATCATCGACTGACAAATATAATTCACTTGACTCTGAAGATGACTTCCGCTCAGGTTGTTGAAACGTCAGTCGCGAACAACAGTTCTTTTAAGAACTACCCTAACCCGGACGATCACACTATACAAACTAGTAGCTGTCACATTTAGCCTAAGAGGTTTCTCATAACCACTACGTGAGTAGAAAATGAACTTCAATGCAAACAAAATTAACGAATTAACTACTTACTGCTCTCTTTCCTCTCTGTCTCTCTTGATACGTTTTAGTTCACGAACTTTCCAAGCTTCATACTAAAAAGAAAAAAAAAAACGTCCGTAAAAACTTTTATAACAACACAAGAAACGGGTTTTGCCTGGAGCAAAATGGATATGTGTGCATGCAAACCATTCACACTGCAACTGACATTGCCCTCATGTACACTGTACGCTGTGTATTGAAGTATGTACATTGTATTTAGCAAAGTTATGTAAGGTGCACAAATGTATAGGGTTAACAGTTACAGAAGATGTACGAAGACAGTAAATCTGGAAACTAGCCCTTAAGAGAAATGTGACATCTTTTGGTTCCAGTCCCAAAAAAAATCAATTATCAGTTTCTCCTTACTCATTATCATTCATTTCAGCTAATTATCATACATTAGAGCCAATTACCATACATTACAGCTGATGTCAGTTCTGTGAATATGACGGTTCGTCAAGACACATTTCTTCGTTCTAGTCACCTGCCTTGCGTGACAGTGTATTGAGATGCACGCAAAAAACAAGCTCTTTACCTCTTCCTCGTCATCTTCATCATCTGTTATGATGACATCTTCCTCATTGTCCACTGAAACAAAATAGGAGCCATTTAAAACATGAAAAGTCTTAGCATGCCACACTTTTGCATTCCAGATCTACATGTAATGCTCCAAGACTTCCTCGCATTGTTTTGTTTAAATGCTTTTCTACCTGTACAGTACATTCTTAAATCAGTTATTAAGTGTCACAATGCATCGAAAGGAATTTAGACTAAGGACTGACTCAGGAATAGCCTCCTGCGGAAAACCAAAGTTTCTTGTTTATGAAGAAACTACAGTGTAGGATCAAAGAGGAGGCTAATGTGTCAATGTTATGCACAAGTGGGAGAGTCCTTCAGGAATGTGAGAAGATGAAACCTGACCTTGGATGCAAGGGAAAGGAAGATCTACAATGTACAAGAAAAAGGACAAAAACCTAAGACTACTTTACATCTGAACTTTATCAAGACCCTAAATTAATTTAACAAACACAATCTGTAGAACCAGATAGTAAATAAAACATGTTTATAACATGAATCTTAGATTAACTGTATGTTCAAAACTGGAGTCGTAACTCATTTATGAGACATGTTTTACCATAGCCATTTACCTTCTTGTTCCTCCTGTAATTCTTTTCTTAGAAGATCTTCAACAAGCTGTGAAACAGAAAGGATGAATAAAATAAATAAATAAATAAATAAATAAATAAATAAATAAATAAATAAATAGACCCAATCGCTATCACTGTTAAGTGATTTAGCACAAGTACTAATGAGGCTAAGCATTTAAACACCGGAAATAAATATTTCAAATTATTTAAATATAACAAGGTTTATCAACTCCCAACTGACAGGGGCAGATCAAAAGGTTATTTACAGACATTTTTGCTTTCTTGCATTCTATACATTTACAATGGACAATGTTACACACATCCAAGTTCTTATCTACAACTGCAGGAAGTTATTTCTGTTTTCACTTCATTTTGTTACCTTGCGTGATGTTTTTGTCCTTTCCTCATGGATCTTCTTTTTCTCTTCTTCTTTACGTTCAAGATCAAGTTCCATCTTCTCACGTTCCTGAACAGTGACTCGATCACTCCTGTAAAACAAAGACACATTAGCCTTTTGTTTGATCCTACAGTGTAGTTTCCTCAAAAAAGGAAACAAATGAATGAATGAAAATATAAAAGATCTTCAAATATAAAAATCAGTTCAGGATTCTTTCTTATACTCATTAGTTACACAGTTTTTCTCACTAAGGAGCCAAGACAGTTACAAGTTCCTTCATTTTATCTTCTTCAAGGCTCACACTAGTATGTTACTATCCATGCCACCAAGCAAACAGACCAAACTGTAATCTGCCCAGTTCTAAAATAACTACATCGTAGCTGACTTTGTTATATATCAGCTTCCTACTGGCTGTTTGCTGTTGAAAACTATAAACATGTACAAACCCATAGTCACCCCAATAACACAGCATGAGGTACACAGAAAAATCTATTGCCTGTGTAACATTCAAACAGAAACAAGCATGGAATAGAGTGGCTGTATCATGCATAGACTACGAGTAGTCCCTCTTTGGCTTTGTCTGTTGTGCGTGACACAAGAGAAAGCCGTGAGAAAAACTGAAATGGCTGTGCAAACCCCTGGGGGCATCTCACCCCCAGGATTTCAAGCAACAATTTCAATTTTCCTTGTGGTTTATTTACGGTCCTCTAGCTTGACGGACTAAGCAAAAGAGGGACTTCTCATAGTCTATATCATGCACCATGGTTTTGTTTTGTTTGTTTGCATTTTATTCAGGGCTTGACACCTGGCAATTGTAGCACAGACTTGGAAGAGAAACATGGTTGCAGAATCTCTGTGAGCCTGACTGTTCAGCAATTCCAAGAGATTCAAATCCAAGATTTACTGACAGATGACACTGAATTATTTATTTACTGAATGGTTGCAGGAAAAGCGGCTAACAAATATTTCTTTCTCTGTATTTAACACAGCGTGCCTTATATTGGGGCAATATAAGGCACAACATTTTGAAAAGTGCACTATTTTATCAGAGAGCACAACAAGCAATAGGTATACAAATGTTGCTCGTTTCGACTCTTTAATAAAGCGTCTACTGTATTAACCCAAGGTGAGCAGTCTTACATGTAAACTGGACCTCTTTCTTAATAGTGTCCAATGTCTCCCAGTTGGCCAGTATATTGTACCTCTCAGCTCAAATTATAGTAAGTTCACTGAGGGAAATTTTTTTCAACTTCTCTGAAGCAATCTACCAAGTGTATAAAACTTACTTTCGTACAAACACTGGTTTCAATCTTGGATTGGCTTCTTCTTCAGAATCAGTGTACTCTTCATACTCAGATGACTATGAAAAATAACAACATTTAAGTAATAATATGTACATACATTGTATTATGGCCATTTATGGGGCAAAGTACTGTGTTCATTGTAATTATACATGTATAGTCATTTTAAGTTTTATATTCTACTGCAGGTAAGAACAAGAAGGAGAGTTTGTGTATTAATCAGACATGTATACAGTTGTATGTACCTCCTCTTCCTCTTCTTCCTCGTCTGACTTGGCTTCTTCCTCCAGATCCAGTAAGTCCTGCAATAACAAGAGAGTTCAGGCTGTGGCTATATGTATTTGAAAAATCAAGGGAAAACTACAGAGTACTGTAGCTGATAGGCTGCAGTGCTGTTGCAACTTGTTACAGTGTATGTTACAACGAACATAATTTTTATGCCTTGGCCCAGTTTACTGCTGTCAACACATAGCTTTTTTTCTGGATTTAAACTAAAAAATGCACTACATATGGACAATGTAGCACTTGCTTTAAAAAGAAAACCCCGGTAAGTAAAGAGTACACCTTTATTGACTTATTAATTGAAGTCAGAGATACCACTGTTCAATTCAACCTTAAAATTGATTGCCAAATAATAAGAAAATTTAATCTGGATTTACTGTGTGAAGAAAGTCCTCTCCA